TTTTTTTGAAGGAACTCATATTTTGAACAGGGTGTTTTCCAAGTCTTTGCATTCTTCTGAGTTTGCTACAGTAGATTACGATCGACAACTGTCGTGCCTCTGTTCAATGTGAAAATTTTCAGTTGAGCAGGATAACTCCTTCGAGCGACACAATTCTTCACTTTGCTGCATCTTGTCAGTCGTTTTGACATGACGCCTTCGCCTAAGGTATTTCTCCCTACCAAAGTACTGAATGAAGGTAGGCAGCTGTAGCTTTCTTTCAGTCAACGTTGCCTCCGATTACCCACGGATGGTCGATAATTTGAGCAATTTCAAGCGGACCTTTCAGCTGATGTGCGGCAGCAAAGTTCTTCTTCTCCTCGGACGACGTAAGTAACACGATTGTGTCACAGCAGTGAAACAGCTTCATGACTAAAAGAAACCAAAAAATGGGTACATTATTAGAAATCACATGAAGACGACTAATAGGCCACAGTTTGCCCGTAAAATGTAGGGGAACACCACGCACATTCTTTTCAGCCATTTAGTACAGGACGTGGACATCTTTTTGTGGTAGGCTTGGGGATTTCTACACTGATGAAGTTGCTCAGATAATCCTACTATATCATAATCGCGAAGTTTGTCTTGTTTGGGTCTGGTGTGTGTGTGTGATGTATGTGTGTCTGTATGTGGTTTGACCGGAAATTCATAACTTCCTTCAAAACAGCGACTGTGCGCTCAAACTGATAAGCGATGTAGGAGGTAGGGCAGAACACTAGTACACGTCCACACGCCAGATCGCTAGGTGTCAGGAAGTGATAAGAGCTGATAAGATACCATAGGGGGCCGTATAAAGGCGAAGTCAGCAAATTCATAACACCGGCCACAGCAGCGATGGGACGTTGATTTCAAGAAGTAAGATAGGAGGCAGGACGGGAACATTATTGGTGGGTGGCAGGAAGTGATAACAGCTGATAAGATACCATGAGGAGCCTCAAAAAGAGTGAGTTACCTAATTCATAACACCGGCCACAGCAGCGATCGGACGTTGATTTCAAGAAGTTAGATAGGGGGCAGGATGGGAACATTATTGGTGGGTGACAGGAAGTGATAACAGCTGATAAGATACCACAAGGGGCCTTAAAAGGAAGGGTCACCAGCTCCATAGCGCGGACCACAGCGACGACGGGATGTGGGTTCCAAGAAGTTAGATAGGGGGCAGGATGGGAACATTATTGGTGGGTGGCAGGACGTGATAACAGCTGATAAGCTGATAAGCTGTTATCACGTCCTGCCACCCACCAACATAAACTTCAGCACCGGTGCCCAAGGAACAATGGTTAGAGGCTTCGTGAGTCAAGTATTCTATCCCTTAGCGATATGGTTACGACGACGCGCTAAGCTCTCGAGTTTCGACGAAAATTAAAATCCCTGGAAGCTGCTCAACGGAAGTACTAGGATGTGAGAAATGTGAGGATATATCACCATGATATCGATGTTATTACCATCGAAAGTCTTTCAACCGCTAAGCTGTCCTATTTCCAACGGATGGTGAGTGTTTCTTAGAAATGTGATAAGCACCAGACATTAGCAAACGTTCATTAAATAGGAGAATCATAATGAAATAGGCCGTATTCTAAAAAATTGTAATCGGGCGAAGTGTTCGGGGTCAATACAGGAATCCTGTCAGCGCAGTACCATTACCATAGGTTCAGCCATACGCGCAGTAGTGCGCGTCAGCCAAGCTTGTACCCTAAGAAGCCTATGAAAAAGCTAGTTGAAGCGGTGATCTGAATGTAAAAGGGTTTTCGGCTTTTTCCCGGGATTTCGTTCTCTTGCTCTGGCGATCTATACCAGGGACCACAGAAACTTGGCTCTTATTTACATAAACTGAATTATATGTGGGCGGTAGCCGATCGATCACATCTATATTGAAATAATGCCCTACTTTTTAGTAACAACGTTCACATTTATCTGAAGCTTTCCTCTATATAAGGCATAACTACATGGCATTTGACACCATTCCACGCAACATTTCCTTTTGGTTCAGCTCAGTTCAGCCCAATCTCTTGTCTTCTCTCACATGTACCGAAGATTTCAGAATGCGGACAATCTTGTTGTCGATTGTAGCATTCGTCTACCTGGTCGATGCCGGATTCCGGTGCAAAAACCTAAATGGGAATGATGTTGACTGGTTAGTGTGGTGTTATACTCGTTAAAGCTGTGAGCAGTTATCACAAGAATGCTGAGTTGTGGGCAAAAGTCGTGCCCCAGGCGGGAGTCGAACCCGCACCTCACGCTTTCCGGGCGAGTGCGCTATCCGTTACGCCACCAGGGCCGCTTTTACCCTCTCAGCTTAAAGCGGCCCTGGTGGCGTAACGGATAGCGCACTCGCCCGGAAAGCGTGAGGTGCGGGTTCGACTCCCGCCTGGGGCACGACTTTTGCCCACAACTCAGCATTCTTGTGATAACATTCGGAACGCGTACTGCGGCGTTAAACAGCAGTTATCATAACAAAACAGCTGTGAGCATCTTCACCAGGTGGATGCAGAGCCGAATTACTCATTAACAGGTTTGTGGCACTAAAATTGCCGGCGGGTGTCGACGACAGACTAGGAGGAAGCTTTGTGTACTATGATTCCTCTCTAGCAGGATGGGTCAAGAGCGATCGGCCAATAAACAGTACCGAGTCCGCGATTGGTGCCACTCTCAATCAGCTTTACACCAGCAGCAATGTAAGGGACATCTCAAAGTGTGCGGCATAATTGTACCACTCAAACGAAGATTTAGAAAACCACATTCAAAATCGCTTATAACGACGACGCTCCCGACAAGAAGGTAGACAGCGGGCGTGGTCACAGCAAAGGTGTTGCTGTTTTCACTATTGACAGCGGATTTTGGCTGGTGCACAGTGTGCCTAATTTCCCTCCATTTGGTGAGTACGAGTTTACGTGAACATAGCCAATACATTGGGAAGCACGTTGTAAACGATGTGGAATATTTCTCCAGGAAAATACGACTATCCGGAAAGCGGTGCAAAATACGCACAATCGTTTATTTGTCTCTCACTTGATGCTAATGCTCTTGTGGATCTCAGTCACTACATGAGATATTCCCAAGTTACGCCGTTCATAAGTAACCTGCCAAAGAATTTTGAAATAATGTGAGTTTTGGATGTAAAGGAATGATATTTCTGGCCATTATCTTTCTACAGAGCACCCTACCTTGTGGATGTAGTGAACAGGAAATCTCTTGGACGAGCAGACACGAGGTATACTACCGCTCACGACTTCGAAACCCGTGGTCACAAGAGAGTTAAGGCGTTTGCGAAGCATAAGAAATTTGGACAAGGTATTTGTACTCGACCAGTATCGACCTTCTCTTAATCTTGGCATTGATGTCACTTCGGGTGGATAGATTGAGCCCTTCAAGATTCTTATAACTGATCAAGCTTTCGGCTTCTTCGCCTCCGTGGCAGTATGAAAGAGCATGAGAGAGCTCGAAACAAACGAAATCTGTCCTTTCAAACTCCTCCACGAACTTATGAAAATTCAGAGCTTCTAGTGAACCACCTAGGTATCAATCGATAAGGGTGAGCAAGCTTACATTGATCTCAGCTGCGATGACGTGAGATCGTCCACCCAAGCTCTTCTGCGCGGCAATTTCAGGCTACAGTGCCAGGATGGACACAGTTACCTAGAATCCGACACCGTTGGATTGTTCACTGGAAA